TTTCAGTATGTATATACACACACACATATATATATACACACGTTTTTTATGTTTTCATGTACTTGTTTGGTGATAAGTATAATTAACTATGTAGCAATTACAGAAGCCGTATAATGAAATTAATGTTACCATCATGAATGTCTTTTTAGAGCACTCAATAAATCAGATTGATATAATTTTGTGTGTATGTCTCTGTGTGTGCGTGTGTATATATATGTATATGTATATATATATATATATACACACACACGTGAGAAGATACATATCAAAGTTAATCATTGTATAGATATTGATCCACAAAAATAATTACTTTACCCAATGGGATCATGCATGAATGTGAAGCATGCATGCAATATTCAATAGCATTTGTACCATATCTTCATTGATGCATAACATCTAATTATGATGTTTCCATGGATTATATTTATTTTATAGGAGATAATATAATGACAATTTTATATATATATATATTTATTTATTTATTATATTACATATAAAGAGTACATCCATTATTTATTATTTAATTTAGTGATTAATATATAAATTTTTTTATAAAAATAAATATTATAAATATAAGTCAGATTTTACTATTATACGTATTGTCAATCAGATATTGTTTATATTTAATTATAACGAATATTTTTATATAACTTACTTTAAAAAAATGTATGAATCTACTCAAAAATATATATTTTTTATATTAAATATTGTGTATTTGAATTAATTTTTTATTTATTTAAAATAATTATATGAAATAACGTATGATACTATATTTTAATACGAGATTAAAAAAAATTAAAATAACTTTATTTTCGTTATAAAAGTAATAATCTATTGTTTTACCCTTATAAAATTATTTCAATACTTAAATTCATAATATACAATCATACAAAAATATGATTACGTTTGAGTGGTGAACCCAAAAAAAAAAAAATCCAATTAATCATTGCTTATATGTATGTGGAGGTACAATCTAATGATGTGTATCACATATTTCATGAATATATATTACAATTGTCTTATTAATACTAACCTCACGTACCTTGTATTATATTCATCCAATAGGGTAGTTATAATAAAAAGAATTATAAATATAAAATTGTGTGTGTGTGTATATATATATATATATTTATCTCATGTTACATATCACATTACAGTAAATGTTTGTTTGTAATTAATACAATTTTAAATAATTATATGGTATTAAAATGTTATTTTTAGGGTATGTAATGTAATTATCTATTTGATTTTGACATTATAATAAGGGTCATTTGAAATCTTCATTATGTTTTCGTATAGTGCCAAATTTATATACAGTGTCATGTTTTTATTTCGTATAATTATTTATTTAATTATAAATATGTTTATGTGATGTTCTTTATTATTTAGATAGTAACTGTTTTAATAACATATTAAGTAATATGTTAGTCACAGTATCGAATTATTTTAATGATTTGTTAAGTGAGTTTTAGATTTATAATAGTTAATATCTTACCAAATACATGTCTTATATTTTGGTGTTTAAGAAACTTATTTCATATACAATCATTATAGATTTTAAAGATTTTTATAATTTGAATATTAAACATGTACCTTGAATCGTACTTAGTTCAAACTTGTATATATTCATTAAATTATCATACCGTAATTATTTTAAATAAATAAATCGGTCATAATTTTACTTTGGTATTTATTAAACTAATATTATTTATATTCTCAAATTTACAGTGATAATTTTGTATTCCCATAAATTGCAAATCATCAACTTTAAATTAAACACGAAGTTAATTTTATATTATAATAGTATTTTTATTCAAACTTTAATTATAGGTATATTGCATGAATTTTCAAAATCTAAGTCACATTCAACACTGTTTGAATTGACTTACTACTCGGAGAACAAAATAATAACTAAATTATTAAAAAAGAAGTTGAATAATGTATTTTTCAAGGTTTTTTTAATCTAAAAAAATATTAAATTAAAATTTTAACCAATTATTTACCATGCCAACTAAATATACATACATACATATATATATATATATATATGTTTCATATTAGTTGAATTTGGGAGTCTCTAGAAATTTTGAGTGCTACCATAACCACACAAATAGAGGGGTAATTTTGTAATTTTGTATCGGTAGTTAGTCAAAAATGTCTTTTTACGATTCTTCAAAAAAAAAAAAAAAAAAAACACTGTGGTAATTTTCAACAGTAAAAAAATAAAAATAAAAATTAGAAGTAGAAGATAAACATAACATTTTAGAATTATCCAAAAAAAAAAATTTGATTTTTATTTTCTTTTTGTTTTAAATATTTAATATTATTCCACGTTGGGTAAGAAAGAGAGAGCCAAACTTACACGCTCGATTCCGCCATTTGACGCACACTGAAAGCACAGGCGGCTCAACAGTTTCAAACCCCACGCTCTCTTTGCGCGATTGACCTCACTCGACAGCCAAAGATTTAGCACTATATTATTATCGTTCCATATATTTTGCACTCTGTGTTTTTTTTTTTTTTACAATTTTTTTCTTGAATTTCTTAATTTTATTCGAATATTATAAATTTAAATTTTATTAAAAACATAAAATTTTATACTTTATAATTATATTAATATAATATTATACATAGTCTAACCCAAAAAAAAAAAAAAAATCCTAAAACGAAGAGTTTTGCGAGTAATGAAGACGAGAAGAATGAAGAAGGAGCGCGTGAGAGACGCGCGAGAAGAGCGGTTGGTAATGGAGGGAAGTGAAAATTAAGGACAGGGCTGTTTTAGTTAAAGATAGAAAATATGGGGGCCAAAACATAAAATCTGAAAAATATTCACAGTGTAATAAAAATGCTTCCTTTATTTTTTTTTCTTCTGTCATGTGGTTAGATCGGGCCGTTCCAAGGTAGTGTGGGCTTTGAGAAAGGAAGAAATAAAATTTAATTTGTCTTCAAAGAAAAGAAGGAGAAATAAAGAAAGAAAGAAGGAAGGAAAAAACACAGAGAGAGAGAGAGAGAGAGGAATTAAAAACTAAATAAAATAAAGAGAAAAAACGCGGCTGCTCTGTACACCAAAACCAGGGGGGGACTCTCCCTCTTTGCTTAATCGATTCCAGCTATAGAGAGATCGCACGAAGACAATCAGAAAATCTTAGGTTCTGGAACACGATTACGTTATTGTCTGAGATCGTCTTGTTAGATAAATTAATTTTGTTGGATTGAACGTTTTAGGAATTTTTTTTTTTTTGTGCGTTGTGTTTGGTTGTGTCGATATTGATATCTGTGATCGGATTTGATTTTGATTGAATTAGGGCAAATCCTTGCTGGGTTTTCTGTTTTTATTAATGGGTCGAGGAAAGTTGGTTGTTTGGTTTTGTGTCTGTGGAGATGTAGAGGTGAGTTTCAGGGTCTGATAAAGAGGGGGTTTTTGAATGATTTCCGTAGGGAGTAGTGATGCAAGGAAGGGGCTAGGGTTAGGGTTTGGTGTTGGAGGGAGAGAGATGGAGGAGACTGAGCTCGAAGAAGGAGAGGCTTGCTCTTACAATAACAACGATGATTATGATGCGAGCATGGACCCGGATATTGCTCTCTCCTACATCGTAAGCGCTTTCTTCTTCAGTGCTCCAAGTTGTTTTCATAATTTGCCTTTGGATTTTACATTCAAACGTGCTATACACTGTTGTTTTTTTTTTTTTTTTTTACTTGTGGCGTTTCTTAGATCCAAGTCTGGAGGTATTAGTTGGATTGAGTTCTATTAAGCTTGTGGGCTTTGTTACTTACAGTTTGATTGATTCTAGTATCGAATTATCTGTCCGAACAAAAAATAGTATATCTGTTTAAAATGGAAGCTTTGTTAGGACTTGAATTGTTCTGTGACTTTAGTTTGATTGACCTGAAGTTTCCTGTTTAGTGTGGCTGGAAAAGACAAAGCTGTTGAGAATGTCCACTTGAAGTGCAATCCTCTACTTTGTATGTTTTGAAAATAATTATTTAGCAATCGGAAGTTTTAGCACTAGATTTCATTTTGGTTAGTTTAATGCCGGGGATTTCATAAAGCATATTGCGATAATTTAAGATGTTGATTGTGTGTTCTTCGCTCTTTGCGTAGAGAGACATTGCAAAATTTTGTGATATAATGTGGACTGACGAGCTTCAGAAATGGAAGTTTTGAATTCATTGCTTTAACTTTCCAAAATTTGAGAACATAGAAATGGGTATTGAGTTTATTACTATACCTTTTTATCTATATATATATAAAAAAAAAAAAAAAAAAAAGAAATGGGTATTGAGCGTGGCAGTTCACGCGTTTTAAGTTCCCATATATAATTGGCTCCTGGTTCACGTATTTTAAGTTCCGACACATAATTGGCTCCAGGTTCACGAATTCTAAGTTCTGGTACACAATTGGCTCCAGGAACAATTGCAGCTAACATTTTCATGGAACGATATCATAAACACACTAGATATCTCCTGACATCTTTATTCACTGGTTTTAGTTTCTGGATGATTGTTCTTATAACACTTTATGTCCTGTACATTTTGTTTTTCTTTTAGTAACTAGTATTTTTTTGTGACCCTTTTAAAAGGATGAGAAACTTCAAGATGTCCTGGGACATTTTCAAAAGGATTTTGAAGGTGGTGTCTCAGCAGAAACTCTTGGTAAGTCAAAACACAACAAAGTTCTGGTTCTTGTAAGTTAAAAGAACCATATCAAAGTGGAGTCAACCCTTTAAAATCTGATGGTTTGTGGCTTAAAATTCCCATAGGGGCAAAATTTGGTGGCTATGGTTCATTTTTGCCTGCTTATCAGCGGTCTCCAATTTGGTCTCATCCAAAGTCTCCGCTAAAAGTTCAAAGCTATAACACACTAAGATCACCAAACAATTTGCTGTTGGAGGTAAAAATCTTTTAACACGGTGCACGTACATTTCAATCAAAAAGCATGCTGCATATGCGTGTGTGTATCTGTGGTTCTGAAGGATAGCTGTAGATAGCTGTAGGGTACTATTATAAAGTTTTTGCCGATTTGTGAACCTCAAATTTGTGCAAGTAAATTAACTTTTATTGTTAACCAGGGAGCCCGTCGTAACTTCACAGCATCATCAACTGCAAATCAGTTAAGACTTGGACCTGCTTGTGCAAGTTCAACATTTGTGCCTGCATCAAAAACACCATCACTGAATGATTTGGCCAAAAGAGAAACATGTTTGCCATCCACCCGTGTGGAGGAATCTGCTCCTTTGCATGAGTTTGTAAACAAGAAATCTTCTAATTTGCCAGACCAGAAAAGTTTGAAGGTTCGAATCAAAGTGGGTTCTGATAACTTGTCTGCACAGAAAAATGCTGCAATCTATAGTGGCCTTGGCCTTGATGTATCACCATCATCGTCACTGGAGAACGGCCCTTCAGAAAGTGAAGGAATGTGTCATGAATATGCTTCATTTGAGTCCCCCGCCAAGATTCTCATGGTGAATGTTCTGCCACAATTTTTTAGAACTTTCCATTTTTCAGTCTTTAATGAAGTGATCTAAATGCTTGTTTTCTCTTGATGCCTTGGAGCAGGTCATGACTTCCTTTCACTTGCCTGATGAGATACTGTTATCACCTCTCGCTGATGATCTAATTCACTTGGTTGAAAAGGAAAAGCTTTTGAAAGATAATAAGTACATGCCTATTTCCAGGTTTGGCCTGGAGAGTTCTAGCATCATTGGAACTGGATCTGATTCTCGGAAGAATGATAGGAAAGGAGAGAAGAATGGGAAGTCCATGGAGAGAAGTAATTTTTCAGTGGAATTAAACAGCAGCAATAATAGGGCCACCTGCAATGGGATTGATGAGATACCAAACAAGGAAGCAGAGATTGACACAATGGCATGTGAGGAACTTGTTTTTAGAACTTTAAAGCTCCCACTTTTATCTAGTTCGCAGCCCACTGTTATTGAGACAGGAAAAGTTACTGCTAAGGTATCTGATGTGTCCAGAGAAGCCTCTCAAGGTGTGGTAAAAGAGAAAAATTTCCATGACATGCCAAAAGATGAACTCTTGGAGCCTGTGTTTGACAAAGACACTAGCTGGGACGAGAATCCAAAGGCCAGTTCAGCTGGAAGGGTTTGGGAAGAAAGAAAGGTTAACTCACAAGATGATGCTACACTCTACCCAAGAAAGGATGGCCATTGCAATAGAGAGAAAACTTCTGACTCAGCTAAAAGTGAATCAAATACTTCTAGGGGGAAGAAAGTTCTTAACATGGAAATTTTAGATTCCCCCAAGAAGAAGGCCAGTCAGGGAGCTTCATGGCATGATCAAGAGAGCACAAAATTACCCGTGGAGAAGGAACATGTATCTTCTAGGGGGAAAAAGAAATCCAAGGGAATTCAGAGCCATAAAGACTTGGGCACAGAGCTACCAAAAGAAAGTTTAAGGATTGTTTCATCTGTATCTAAAATAAAGAAAAACACTCATGCGGATACTTATGCAACTAAAAGAGAATCAGATGAATTCAGATCACAGAAGAATGCTGGAAGAGCTGAAGATAGGTACAAAGAGTTTTTTGGTGACATGGTGGATTCCGAAGAAGAGAACCTGACAAGTCCTCTGGAAATGAAGGATTCTGAGAAGGTTGAAAAAGGCAACTCTGCTATGAACAACGTGTCAAAGGAGAGATCAAGTGGCAAGAAAATTGGAAAGGTTGTAAATTCAGAGTATCCAAAAGCGGTTCTGGATGTTGCTTCTCGAGCTACAAATGGATCCATCTCTGATGCAGCTCATACAACTGCAGCTCCTGTATTGATAGAAGAAAATTGGGTAATGTGTGACAGGTGTAGGAAGTGGCGGCTTCTTCCACATGGGATAAATCCTGATGTTCTGCCTGAGAAGTGGGTTTGTAGCATGCTGGATTGGCTGTAAGTTATTTTCTCATTGCAAACATAATTTCATTACTTGACTCCATAATAACCCTATTATTCCCATGATGGACTAAAATGCTAATGTAATAAGATTGTAGATAATTTTCTTTATTTGATGTTGAAACATTCCCTTCCTCCTCTTTCCTTCATAAAAATTTATATGTCCATCTATATGAATGCTTTAGGCCTGGAAAGAACCGATGCAGTACACCGGAGGATGAAACAACAGCAGCTGTTCTTGCAATGTATACTGTCCCTGTCCCAGATGGTCAAAATACCCTGCATGGCAATCCTGGTGGTGGTATATTCCAACCTACTGTGGCTAATATCAGGGACCCTGGTTATAAGAAGAAACATGGTTTGAAAGAAACAATAGATGCAACAATTAAAGAGGCTCCAACTCAGGTTATGAACTCGATGAAAAAGAGCATGCATGAATCAATGAGAAATGGGAGCCTGAATGGTGGGAACCAATCTCCCCTTGTAAGTGAACCTAATTTTCCACAGGTAAATAAGTCCAGTGACTTTCCCTTGGAGAGACACAAACCCAAACAGAAAGAAAAACTGAAAGTTGTCGATCGCCGTTCTGATGGAGGTATTGATTAATAATAGATATTTGCTTCTGCCTGTGAGTCTTTGTCTAAAAATATGTAAAATACTTTGCTTGAACATGTGTTTAGGTGATGTCAAGAGTTTAAAGATGAAAAGCAAAAGGGCTGATCAAGATTGTTTCAGAGTTTCAAAGAAAATCAAGACTGAAAGCTTACGTTCTACTGATGAAGATTATCCAGCTGAGCAGGGTGGGCCTATGAGAAGGGTGGGTCCAATCTCCAGCAATGACTTGCCTTCTATGTCAGCTGAGAAGGATAGGTCTAAATACAATGACCACCCCAATGACTCACGGTCTGACAAAAAGGTCAGATTACAAGTCTGCACGGAAAAAAAGAAAGAAAAAGTTCAGGCCTTGGATGATGGATTGCTAGATTTGGGAAACAGTGAAAATAGATGCGTTGGGAAAAAGAGGAAGTTGAAGGAAAGTCATGATAGTCAGGTTTCTTTGGGGTCACTTCCAGGTGCGGGAAATAATCTTCTGGATGGGAGAGATTCTGTTAAGGAGGCGTTCAGCGAAAATGATTATAGGAAGGGAAAGAAGGCCAGGGTATCCAACTCAGGGGGGAAGGACTCCAGTGTCAGTAAAGGAACTTCCAGATCAGACAAAAAAGGTAGCCATGCTAAGAATCAAACACGAGGAAAAGATTTAGGCAGCACTTTGTCTCAGCGAAGCTTGGATGGAGTGGATTCACTGAAAAGGGATTTCGGAATTGTGCAGACATCTGTAGCAGCTACTTCTAGCTCATCTAAGGTTTCTGGCTCTCATAAAACTAAAGCTAGCTTCCATGAAACCAAGGGCTCTCCGGTGGAATCAGTTTCTTCTTCACCTATGAGAATTCTCAATCCAGATAAGCTAACATTGAACAGAAGGAAATTGGCAGGGAAAGATGAGTCTCATAATACTGGATTTTTCACCACAGGTAGTCCAAGAAGATCTTCGGATGGTGATGATGATGGTGGGAGTGAGAGGTCAGGAACAGGAAAGAAGAAAAAGTCTTTTCCTGTTACTCAGCATGGGTCAGTTGAATCATTTGGGATTAATTTTCAGGATAAGAATGTTAATCACTTAACTAGTAGCAAAGCTAAAACGCAGAGTGTGCCCTCTCCTGATGTCATAAATCACCATTTCACAAATGGTAGTGTGCATGGTCTAGCACAAGATTCTCGATATCCTAGTAAGCCAACAACTTTGGATCAGTGCCGTGATGAAGAGAGAAAAAATGACTACCATTATCATGGTAATGAATCTCGTTCAAAGAAGTCAGGAAAAAGTTCCTCTTCGAGGTCCAAGGACAAGAACCGAAGTTCAAGGTCCGACTCTGTCGATGAACTGCAAGATCGTGCCCCACAATGCGAAGTAAAGCTCAAGGATGGTAGAATCAAATTCCAAGAAAAGTTTGGGCTCAAATCTGATGGAAATGAGACTAAATATGCAGATAAGAAAGAATTTGCTGGAAAGTTGTCCAATGAGATAAATAAAAGAGATAGTCAATCAAATGTAGGACACCAAGGTAATTCAGATGCTAGATTAGATGTAAATTGTGTCCAGGATGGAATGTCTAATCTGAAGCAAGGCATTCCTCAAGACAACAGCGAAAAATCTTCAAAAAGATTGGTGCCAGATAAGAGTGATAAATTGGAAATAGTATCAGAGACAGGGAAGTCACTATCATTGCCCCCTTCAACTGGAGCTCAAGTTGAAACATTGGCTCGTTGTCCGCAGCCAGTTTCTGGATCAAATAAAGCTAATAGAGCTGAAATCTTGGCGGTCGATATGGCTCAAGGTGATGATGCATCAAAGATGCCTAAGCAAACCAGAAAGAATGATCAGAATGGAAGCCAGCGCATACATTCAAGACACCCAACAACCAAATGGGCACAGGACCAGGGATCCTGATGCCCCCAGTCCATCAAGAAAGGAATCCTCGAGTCAGGCTGCAACAAATGCTGTGAAAGAAGCCAAAGATTTGAAACACCTGGCAGATCGTCTTAAGGTCTTAACTGACTACTTTTGTTATTATTTGGTGCCTGTCAGTGTCTTTTTGGTGTAGTTTTTAGCAAGGTGGATTATCCTTTGCAGAACTCTGGGTCAAATCTTGAGAGTACGGGGCTTTACTTCCAGGCTGCCCTCAAGTTTCTACATGGAGCCTCTCTATTAGAATCCTGCAGCATAGAGAGTGCAAAGCACGGAGAGATGATTCAGTCATTGCAAATGTATAGTAGCACTGCAAAACTCTGCGAGTAAGTTTTGGCATTATGCTAGGATAATCCATTCTCATGACATTGTTTTCTGTCTTGATGTATGGTTTTTTTATGATTGATTCCAAGCTAGTATGTCATGTTCCACTAGTAACCAGTCTAGAATTGAACTGAAGAGGTTAATTTCTGCTGTCTGTTTCGCACATTATACATTCTGTTGCTTGTTAAAAACTTCACCAATGTCACGTTGACGAATGTGAGACTTAAACACCTAACTTGCTTTTGCTTTTGTCCCAGAGCCTCCTTTCCCTTTATTTTTGCAAAATTTTTAGGACTATATTCTATAGCAGTGAGAAGGACACATTTCTCATTTCCTTGCGGGCAGGATTTCTGCTAACTTGGATTGGGGGAAAATGGTGAACAACTAACTAAAATAGATGCAGCAAACTTGTTACTGTACTTTGATCTTCCAAAGGGTCTTTTGTAATTGTCACCATTCTTTTCTGCCATTCGTCTGGGGCATTAGAATTTCTTTAGGATGTCTCTTATGAGAAGGCAGTAAATT